GTATATAGAGAAGAGGAGGGGTCCAAGAACTGATCCCTGAGGAACCCCAGTGACCAGTTGATGTGCTTTGGATACCTCCCCACCCCAGGCCACCCTGAAAGATCTACCAGTGAAATAGGATTCAAACCAACGAAGTGGAATCCCTGTGATGCCCAGTGATGAGAGGGTGGACAGGAGGATCTGATAATTCACCGTGTCAAAAGCAGCAGATAGATCCAGCAAAATAAGAACTGATGGCTTCAGTGACTGACAGTAGAGCAGTCTCAGTTGAATGGCCTCTCCTGAAGCCTGACTGGTTAGGATCCAGTTGGTTGTTCTGTGTATGAAATAATGATATCTGGTTAAAAACAACTTGTTCAAGTGTTTATGCTGTGAACGGAAGGAGAGAGACAGGTCTGTAGCTATCTGTAAGTGAAGTGTTTAATGTAGGTTTCTGAGCAGTGGGGTAACCCGAGCCTGCTTGAATGCAGTGGGGAAGGTGCCTGTGAGGAGAGATGTGTTGATGATGTGTGTGAGTGGTGGTAAAAGTGTAGGGGAGATTGCTTGGAGAAGGTGTGAGGGGACTGGGTCTAGTGGGCATGTTGTAGGATGGCTGGAGAGGAGAAGTTTGGATACTTCTGCCTCAGTAAGGGGACAGAAGCAGAAGGGGGAAGTTTTAGGTGTGGATGCGGTTGGTTTGAGTTTGTGTATGTGTGGAGCTGAGTACTGACTACTGATTGTTCTAGTTTTGTCTGTGAAGAATGTGGCGAAATCATCAGCTGTTATAGAAGTGGTGGGAGGTGGTGGAGGGAGACAGAGTAGAGAACTGAATGTTTTGAAGAGATTACGTGTGTCTGTAGCGCTGTTGATCTTGTGAAAATATGAAGATTTGGCAGCATGGACTTGAGCAGAGAAAGATGAAAGCAAAGACTGATACATACTCAGGTCAGACAGATCTTTTGATTTGCGCCATTTTCTCTCTGCTGCCCTGATTTTGGACCGATGCTCACGAAGAACATCGGATAACCAGGGGTTAGAAGGGGTAGCCCGTGCTGGGCTGGAGGAGAGAGGACATATATTGTCTAGACAAGAAGTTTAAGTAGAGCATAAGGTGTCAGTTGCTGCATTAACGTCCAGAGATGAGAAATGGGTGGGTGAGGGAAGAGAGGAAGACACTACAGAGGAAAGATAGGAGGGTGAAAGGGAGCGCAGATTTCGTCTAAAAGTAACAGGTAGAGGGGTTAAATGTAATGAAGAAATGGTCAGAGATGTGTAGGGGTTTTACCAAAATGTTGTCTGCAGTACAATTGTGTGTAAATTAAGTTAAGTTGGTTGCCTGATTTGTGAGTGCTTGTAGTGGTAAGGCGGTAATTTGAAATCAAATGAAGCTGTCAAGATTAATGTTAAAGTTGCCAAAGATTAAAAGTGGACTGCTATCCTCCGGGAATGAGGACAGCAGACCATCCATCTCTTCTAGGAAGGTGCCCAGTTGCCCAGGAGGCCGGTTTAATCTTGTCATATTAGTGGGTTTATGTGTTTCTGTGTTAATTTTACTCAAATTCAGTAAATCAATGACCAAGTCAATAGTCGGACTGATGTCCAAATGTTACTAGAATTGCACAATAATAAAACAACCCATGGCATGGGAAGAAAACATTTCCATGAAATCCCCTTTTAGTTGTAAACAGAACTATGCTTTACTTTCATTGTGACTTGCACAGTGACTGAGCAATCTGCACAGTGATGATATGAGCATTTCATAATCAAACATTAAACATTTACACCACAACAGTTAAATTAATCATTATGGCTGATGTATTTTGCATATTTGGACTATAGCTACGTTACTAAAACTACACCTCAAGACATATTTTTGGGATCTATTTCAAGACTGTTGAGCTAATAAGTAACTCAAAGCAAGCAAAGCAGATATTGATTAGACTGACAAAAACTGAGCAAATGTTTTTTTTAAGGAGCAAATAGTCAATGATGGCACATTTATTTTTTCTCTGTATACTTCATCTCTTCTTCTGCATTACTGTCCAGGAAAGTGTGTAAGTTGCAATTTACATCATTTAAAAAATTCTGCAGAACAGAAATACTGGTCTGTATTATCAAAAAGCAGAACTGCAAAGCAAACAATGATAACTAAACGTAAACATACGTACACCTGTTAGTAATCTTTCATGTTTGTATGAAATTAAGCTAGTAGGTTTTTCCTGTTTTATTTCACATAAACACAGTAGGCTACCATTCAAACATTTGTGGTCATTATTATATTTTATTTTGAATTTAATGCTCTTATTCGGCAAGTAAGCATTTAATTGATCAAAAGGGGCAGTAAAAACTTTGTTACATACAAGAAATTATTGTTTGAAATAAATGCTTTTCTTTTGAACTTTCTGTTCATCAAAGAATAGTGAAAAATATTAATTACAGTTTCCACAAAAATATTAAGCAGTACAACTGTTTTAACATTGACAATAATAAGAAATGTTTCTTGAGCATCAAATCAGCATATAAGAATAATTTCTGAAGCATCATGTGACACTGAAGACTGGTGTAATGATGCTTAAAATTTCACTTTGCAACACAAGAATAAATTACATTTGAAAAGATGTTAAACTGTTAGTTTTAAATTAGAATTTAGAATGTTTTAAGTTTGAAAACAATTTTACATTATAATATTTTATAACATTACTGTTTTTAATTTTTTTTAATCTTTCAAAAACATTTAAAAAATCTTCTCAACTCCAAATCTGGACAGTAGAGTATATTCATTTCAGTTGCTGTTGAATATAATTGCAAGTGTTGCAAATTGTTTAAATTTGTGTATATGTGTGCTGACAGGTATGCTCATGGAACACCAGTTAGTTCTGCAGATATTTTCCTGACGTTCGGATACAGTACACCAGAAGAAACTGTCATGATACCAGAGACATTTGCAAGATACATGGTCAGTGTGCACTCAACAAAACATTTTTAATGTTTGAGTTCTGAGAATACATTTGTTTTTGGCTTTTGTTTTAGCTGAAAAATGGAAAGGAAGAAGTCCACTTAGACATCAAGTCAGCTTTATAATCCATGCCTGATGGCCCTCAAGACTTTGAGGTGCCATGAAAGAAAACAGCTTTCTTCGAGTGAGAGTTTTGCTTCAAGAGTCAACTGGTAGGTCCAGTTAGTTCCACAGACACAGGAGTGCATTGTCCTGATTTAAAGCAAATAAATGTGACAACCATTTGACAATGTTGGAAACCACTCTGCATTGTCAGGTGGAATCTCCGAGGAGGCAATGCTCTTAACTGTGAAATTTGTGGAAACTCCATTCACACTGAGTCTGATCTCAACCCCTCCTTTGATCAAACCAGGTCTACCATACGCTATGAGAGTAAGAAACATGTCTTCTCAAGTAGTTTTATTATATTTAAACAAAC